AGAAATTGATTATTCAATATTAGATTGAATATAAATGGAAAATGTACAGTGGGAGTTTAAGAAGAAGAAGAAGGAAATTAGTTGTTGTGTTCAGGCCAACTGGCAGACATGTTTTTGGTGTGTTTATTTGTTTATTTCCTTGCTGCTTGACTCACCACGCCCTCGGGGTCCACCAGCAGCAGGTGTTTGGGGAGGCCACAGTGCATGCCTGTCAGGACGTACTGCCCCTGGTTGGTGGTGCTCTCCCGGACCAGGAAGTCTCCGTCTCTGACCAGCAGCTTCTCTGCGTCTCTCCTGCTCAGGCGGCTGTGGTACCAGGTCTCCCTGCGCAGCTGCTCCTCGTTGGGGGCCACGGGGGCTCTGCGGCGGGGGGGGCTGGGCCACTGATCCTCCAGGACCCCCGCACCTCCCCCTGCAGCTCCAACAGCTCCAACAGCTCCAACAGCTCCACCACAGGCCTCGTGGAGCTTCAGGGCGTCCTCGAAGGGCCCTGCAAGGACAACAATGTTTCACAAACACAAATGCCGTCACTCTACAGTATTTTTTTAAAATAAGAAGTGTGCTTATCTTTACTATATCTGTCTCTCAGGACTTACTCATGTCAAAGAGGTCTTTCTTTGGACTCTCGGGCACCCTGGACCCTCTGTATCCGTTGGCCAGTGATTCCAGGTTCTCCAGAGTCTGGGTGTTCACGTACTGATGCTCCTCGTAATCTCTGCTGCCTGGAGGCTGGCCGTCAGCACACAGGTAACCGTCTGATGTCAGACCTGAGGGGAAAAGGAGTCTTAAACACCCCATCTTTGACTTGGAGAAGTGTTTTTGTTTGTGTCATGTGCATCTTTAGATTTGTGCTGAACTTGTTTAGTGTTTTGGCGCCCTCTAGTGGTTGAAATCAAAACGTTATATGTCAGATGCTATTTTCTGTTTATTTTTAAACTCCATAAATTAGCCAAGACAATTAATCCAGGTGTGGCGCATGTATTGAAGAAGATGTGTATCGCTAATTGCATGATTAAGGATGAGTCAATCACAATAGGATTATTGTATGTCGCTTTGGATAAAAGCGTCAGCTAAATGCAATGCAATGTAATGTAACATGCCATCTTGCTTAGGATCTTGCCATTTTTATTTCTAACCCTGTATCATGATGCGTATTGTATCGTCAGATTCTTTCATAATTATAGATCAAATGAATGAAGCCACTCATGAGAAGGCAGTTTTTGTACCACGAGATCGACTTTATAATATGTGATACCCACACCAAAATAATCTTCTAAAAAATAAGCAAGAAAGCTCACAATAATTGTTTTTGCTACTGGGTGTTTATTGCAGTTTTTTCCACTAAACCTTGACCATTATATATTATGTATTATGTCAAAAGTCTTACAATTGTATTATAATCGTCAGGTTTATCTAATTGGACAGTTGACAATTGGTTGTTGTACTTATAGATAGATACATTGTTAATAAATTAAACTTGGCTATCTTCATTCTAATTGTATTATGACTTACCACTTCTGATTCAATTGGAGGATTAACTGTCATAATTATCCAAATGTAATTCAGGGAATCTTGATCCTATGAAAGATGATTAAACCTCAAAGTACTTTATCAGATTAATAATCCTAAAAATAATGTTATCAGGGTGATTTTAAAAGGATCCAAATACTGGTCCTGTGTTTGTGTGAGAAGGTCAGTGAGTTTTATTCAGGGCACAACGTTCAGTGATGACTGGGACGTGCACTAGAGTAAACATTTTCTGTGAGAGAAGTACACATCATCATGTTTATTTCCAGATGTTGTACCTGTGCATCACCACAGGGGGTCTCACCTGAGCTGCTGGTGGTCTCCGTGTCCCAGTGCAGCTCATAGCACAGCTGCCCGGGGGGGTAAGAGGTCTGGTCCCTCCTGGCTGGTGAGCCCATCTGCAAACACACACCAGAAACACACCCTAAATTAGTGATGTTACGTACACTAACGATCCGATTCTTTTGAACGGCTCTTTGGTACGAACGAAGGGAACCGAGTTGTACTTGGTGAGAGCCGTTCTTTTTAACATTGGTTCACTACCTGCCATAAATCCACTCGCCTTTACGTGAACAGTGAAACAGCTGGATTTTGCTCCCCAAGCGAATCCCGTGAAGACCCCCCCTACTTTTCGGGTGAAAAAATGAGCCAAACGCGAACAAACAGCAGCATTTGGATGCACTTAAAAAAAACATAGGCAATGATAAAGCGGAGTGCAACATTTTTAAAGCCAAAATATAATTTAAAGCAGGGTCAAGAAATCATCTCCACCGCCACTTAAAATAAAAACGGCTCTTTTGAACGGCTCTTTTGAACGGCTCCCTTCAAAGAGCCGTATTTTCCATCACTACCCTAAATACATTTGTTTCTCTTTACCTGCTGCATGCACAACTCTCTCATCTCTTGACCCCCACATAATGTAGTTTTGAAGCACTCTCCTTGAAACATTAGCCACAGCATGTCACCATATTTTGCCGGCAGAGAGCGATGATTTCTCTCACGCTGGGCAACGCGAGGCTTTTTATGTAATCACATCTATCTTCGGCAATTACGGTCCAGGCAGGAAGACAGCGAGGGAGTTTATTGTCTTGCTCCTGCTGTTTAAATCCATGTAAACAGAGGGCAAAGAAGTACTCTGATTTCCAAATAGGGATACTAAATTGTAAAATGAATCTGTTACAAGTAAAAGCCCTGTATCCAAAGAGTATTGACATCAAGTTAAAGTACCGATAATTATGCCTTAAGGTCCATTTCAGAACCATATCTGAAACTACTGGATTATGATCAGAGGCTAAATAAGTATTCAGATCCTTTACTTAAATAAAAGTAGCAATACATTCATGTCAAAATACTCCATTATGAGTAAAAGTACAGTATTATTATCAAGAGAAAATGTACTATTTCTGCAGAAAAATGTCCTCCACATGTGATATATTATTATATATGTGACATTATTAGATTGTTAACATGGTTGCATCAAGCAGCATGTTACTGTTGTACACAAGCATAGTTTTATTATTGTATAGTTTTACTTTTTCCACCTTAAACTTAAACAGTTAATCCAGTAGTTTAATTTTGGATTATGTTAAAAGTTTATCACATGTTTTTCAATGCAAAATCTGAAAAGTAACTATTATAATACATGTAGAGTTCAATTACATGAATTCCCTTTTAAATATAGTGGAGTAAAGTATTAGGTACTGTAGCATTAAATGGAAATACTCAAGTAAAGTACTAAAGTATTTCTAAAATGTATGAGTAAATATACTTTGTTACCTTCCACCCCTGCATGTACATTAAACAGCAGAAGGAGCAGGAAAACATCAGTCACCAGTTTTTGACGGAGATATCAAAGAGCTTGTATCAGATGAAGCTTGGTCTTGCACTGCTTGAGGATCACCAGATGTAGCTGTGATTTAATCTGTGGTAACATTAGTGCATCCAGAACCTGACCTGACCTAATGTTGTTTCTGAAGCCCTGCCTGGTGTTCCTCACCTGTGCTGCGGTCTTGCTCTGAGGCTGTGTGTGGATGTGACCCAGCAGAGATCCACTGGACCGCAGCCTGGAGTCCACCACCCCCCCGACGGGAGGCTCCTTCCCTGGGATGCTGTTGTAGTAGTTGTGCTCAGATGAGTCCTCCTCCTCCGCCCACACCGGCTCCTCCGTCCTTACAGACCTGAAGAAGGTCACGCGTGTAAAACATACATTTCTATCAATCAATCAAATGCTATTTATATAGCCCAATATCACAAATTACACCTTTGTCCCAGTGGGCTTTACAGACTGTACAGCATACAAGGAAAACCTCCCAGGGTTGAAAGACATGCAATAAATGTTGTAACAGAATAAACAAGGTAAGAAATGACACCATAGACAATCCAAATGACAAATGAATGATTATTGTTTCTGCACAAGTGATACCACAGCTTCTATAAAAAAAACGTATTTTTTAAGGAACAGCCTCTCAAGCACGGTACCAAACTGTTGGAGTAGAGGCTCTTTGACAGGAAGTGAAACAATATTAGATTAGTTTTTAAAAGAAGACCCCATAGACAAGCTTTTATATGATTGATTTGGTTAAAGAGATAGTTATTTTCTGGGGGGGGAGGGGATTGTACTGTTTTTACCACTTTCCCAGAATCAAAAACGAACAAATGCTTTGGGAATGGCTTTTTTCTTTATTTTTTGTTGTCTGAAATTATGTAAAACAGCACTATTAAGCTATCTTTGCTCATCATCATCTCTATGGGATCAAATTACATAACTATTAGCATATTGGCATTCAGGAAATTAGCCAAATGTATCAAGTAAACTAAGGGGGCTGGGCTTTTAACGGTCTCTGACTTTGAAAACCCCTGATCCAAACAATAATGTTGATTATTTATTATTATTGTATTAATAGTCTTTAAGAACAGCCATCTGGGTTCTGAAATGGATTGAGTCCGATCAGATGACATCCCCACATCCTGAAGTGTTTCTATATAAATCTGTTGGATATAAATAGATCCTCAGAGCTGCTGTTGGCGGCAGGAAGACATTCATCTGAAACCACAATAGAAAACACTAACAGTCTGAACTCCCTCCTCTCTCTGCAGTGACATCCTCCACACCTCAGGGTTCATCTGTGAGGATCAATAGTATCGGATGGATTTTGAGGAAAAACAGGAACAAACTATCATTGTTTACTTATGATAAATAACAAGGGAATCTGTTATACAGGACTTCAGATTTTTGAGGTGGAAACAGTTTTTTTATTGAATAAGTTAGATGATTCATAGTGCCGATCCATCTTCACGTCCTCTCGGTATTAGTGACTGGAAGTACGGCTCCCTTCAAAAGCCGCGTTCACACCGGAGTACTTTTCCCACTTTAGTTCCGATATAGTTCCGGATCTTTTTGGTGTGAACGCGACAAAATTAGTTCATGAGAACCTTTTTACCCCCTTTTCCGTCCCTGCTAGAGACCAGGGACTCTCATGCGGCTCTCTTGTGAGAAAAGAGCTATATTTCTGATTGGCTGGGCGGATTGCAAACCCCGTAAAACTCAAAAAAAGTGTTGTGAAGCCACTATTTTATTATCCTCGCATTAGCATTATTAGCATTAGCATTAGCCCAGCGCAGAAACGCAGAGAGACTAACTTATGGCAACACAAAATAAAACATGGGAGCGGTGGGGATGAGGAGGTGTCGGCGTTCTGGCGATTTACTCGGAAGGCCATTGCCCAACAACCGGGGACTTCCGGCCGGGGATTTTGGGCGGCAGTATACGCCGTGAAGTTGTTTGCGGCCTGCCAGTAAACCCAAAGCAGAAGAAGAAGAAGTGACGTCAGCGGCTTCATTTGCCTAATCCACCCCCAGGGACTTATTCCGGTGTGAACGCGATCTGTACTTAGTTCATCAGAACTAAAGAGTTCTGATGAACTAAGTTCTCATGAACCTTTGTGGGAAAAGTACTGCGGTGTGAATGCGCCTAAAGAGTCGTAATGCCGTTTTTTTTTAAGGGGGCGGGGTTACTAGGTTTTTCTGCGAAATAATCACCAGGATAATGATTGACTGTATTGCCAGAAATCTACTTTCACTCACAGAAAATGTATAACTTGCTACATCTCTCAGCAGCCAAACTACTACTAGAGCAGCATGCGTTATGCCATCGTCTATACGGCAAGTTTGCATTCAGGAAAGAAAGTTCCTTTAAAGGCGAGTGGATTTATAGCAGGCAGTGAACCAACGATAAAAAGAACGGCTCTCACCAAGTAGGACGATCCCAAAATAATCGGATCGTTCGCGAATGTCACATCACTACGGGGTATTCAATCTTCTTAAAATAACTCGACTTTTATACTTTTAATGGACATTTGCATACAAACAATTTAAACAATTATTTTGTTGTCGAAATTATATTACTTCAGTACTCTAATAGTAGTCTATGCAATTAAGTTATTTCTGAGCACTTATTTGTTTAAGAATTCAATGATATATCTGTCTTTACCATCCTGTTACCTTGTGTTAATCTGTACTGTCCTGTTTGTCACTCCCACTCTGTTGCTGCTCTAACTCCTGAATTTCCCCACGTGGATGAACAAAGGTCCATCTTATCTTATGTTATTTCACAACTTTGGAGGACAGTGCCTCCAAAAAAAAGGCTTTTCATCATTTCATAGAGGTCATGGTGTGTCTGGGCGGCACGTTACCTCTCCATAGACATCATGGTTTTGGGAGGACTGTGGAGGTAATGTTTGAACTGCAGCTCGAAGGCCTGGCCGATGGTGCTGATGACACTCTCAGCTAAACCGTCCGAGCACTCCAGGATGTGACACGCTGGAGGAGACAAAACAAGAGGTCACGTTTTCTTTTAATGTGGTTATGAAACAGGCAGGGAAGCTGACGGAGAAGCCTTCCAGGACATACCTCTCTGGTTCACTGGGTCTTTGGCCACATACGCAACATAATCAGGCGTGTCCTGCAAGAGAAAGGAGAATACATTCAATTAGATGTATATAATGAAAGCCCTCATTGATTCCTATGGTCATGGGATTGGAAACCAGTCAAATGGAATCCAGTCAGATATGTGCAGCCTGCCTAAAATGTCCAACAACAACGTAAAGGAGAGCTGGGAGTGAAACGCTGCACTCACTGTGTCTCCTCCTGAGGCGAAGGAGATGGACTGCATGGGATGGTGCGCTATCACCTGGGAGAGAAAAGGGATAACGGATTTTCAAATATTCTACTTTGACATGTCATTGTTAAAAAATGGGGATACAAAAACACATTGAAAGGAACAATAGTGATGCCAAAATAAAAAATAGTTTCAATAAAGTACAGACCAAGGACCAAATGATTTAGGTTAGGAAGACTTGCCAATACACTAAGACTTTTTAAGTTTTGTGTAAAAACATGCAATTATTATTTTCCAAATGTTGGTTTTTAGAAATGAGGAAATGCTTCTGAACATCATGTAAACATTGAAATTCTTCCGGAGCAAGGTTTAGTTGATAATTTCATGAGTCTAAGCATTCATTTAGCACAACTTTAACACCTATTATTAACGAAACAGAGTCAAATGTGTGACTGTTTCAAGTATTCAGGATTCAGGGTTAGGGTTAGTAGCCTTATTTGTATAATTCTGAAAGAAAGCCATTTATTCAGGATATTAGGGTGAATATATCAGTATACTCACACTAGTTATATCATCATACCTGTCGTGTGGTAGGGATTAGCAGACCGAGGCCATCTATGCAAATATTGACTGCAATACTCATGCCGGCAAATCGCAGGTTACTCTTCCCCATCACAGTCTGGAGAGCTTTGTTCGTGGTCTACATGAGGAATTTCCAAAAAAGAATACAGTGTAAATGATATTGCATAAGAATCAGTTACTGATAGAGAGTTTTAAGTGTCTTAAGACCACAGCAGTATCTTAAACCCATCTAGTTCTAGCATAAATTAAACAATTTAGTATTTAGTTAGTATAGTATAATAAAACGTGGAGAATACGATTAAAGTTTACTAATAACCTTCTTCCTCCATGCTCCTTTTCCGCCTGGCACAGTGTCACACAGCCTGTTGATGGCCTCCCTAATTAGGGAATGAAGAGAGGTCAAAGGTTAGACTATAGTGGGAGACACTGACTACTAAACTAATAGCTAGAAGGACACTACAAATAACAAATCAGCTGTATCTTGTTAACTGTACACCCAAATATTAACAATCCAGTGACAACAATGTGAGGAGTACAACTGATATGTATTGCTTTAAATGTTCTGTTCTTTTTCAGGTTCATATTAGTATTTTGCCCCTCTACTGTGATATGTTTACAGCACCTCTTTCACCCTCTGTCTGAAACCAGAGCCCAGTCTGCTCTTATCGGTTATGTGGTCGGCTCTGTTGTGTTTGGTCAACCGTTTAGAGATGTCCCGCCCCTTAGCCTATCACGTGCAATCGGTTGAAGCACTAGCCAATAGAAGTAGGAGTGTTACATGTTCAGGAAGTAAATAAAGGAATCCAATGGAGGCATTTCAGGCAGGTCACATATAGGAGAGATATGTAATGTTTGCAGACCATTTACATGCACACAAACCCATGTAACACACCACAGGAAAGGGAAAACCCCAACAAGCGTATAGGGCCTCTTTAAAACATTGTTCAGTCTACGAGAAACTTGTGCAACACAAAAATGATAAATCCTGAGGTTAAACATGAACAGAAGCTGTGTGTTCCTCCCTCGGGCTAAGGTCACAGATCACAGACCCAACACAGTTCAAAGGTCAGGAAAAAGGTCTGTTCAGAAGCACTAAACTTATTACCACCAGCCGTCATTCAAAGTGGTTGTTTATCAAACTCCTGTTGAATTAGCGAAGAAGAAACACTATAATTTGAGGCAAATATAAAATGTCTAGAGCCTTCTACCGATTCTTTATGGCTTCATAACTCACATTTATTTGCCACAGTGCAATTCTCTCGGCAGATTTGTTTACAACTTTGCAGTGAAGCTGCTATAACTCCTGGGATGGCCGTCTAATGGGTGTTTAAAGCCTCTGTCCCCCGTGTGTCTGATGGCGGTCGGGAGGCATAATGTGGATTTGAAGCTGGAGCTCGCTGCCAGGGGACAGAGAGGACAGCAGTCAAGAACCCAGCTGCCCCTATCAAGTGGCTCGTAAATATTTAAAAAGCAGCATACCGGGCCCCATCTCCAGTAAAGGTCTTCTCAGGGATTTTTGAAAACACCACAATGACTCATGCTGATGAGAGGGCAAAGGCAGGAGGAGGAGAGGGATGGGCTGTTGTTGTTTTTGTCTGCAGACTCGTTATCTTCCCTGCCATAAAATGCCAGGCCTCATTATCACTGGTGTTGCTGTTTAACACCCGGACACAGAGGGCACTGTTGGGAAAACGCACCTTCCTCAATCTGAAGGGCATTTGTGAAATTCTGACACATACTGAATGTGTTGTTGTGGTTTTCAAGGACAAAATGAACTTGTACAAATCAGCTAGGCGAGAAAAAGGAAAGGCTTTGTTTCTAAAATGCTGCTTATTAATTGCACACAGCAAAAAATAACTTATAGCAAATGATGTTACTAATGTTAAAAATGTGTTAGATCACTTAGACAAATCAATCATTGATTTTTAGCCGTGTGGGACAGATGGCCCGTCCCATGCTCCCTAAGGAATCAGAAACTGCGTGTCGTTAGCATCTCTGCACAATTTGGAAGTCTGTTTTAAAGCTGCCATTCATACATGTCCTTTCACATCCTGTGGTGTTATAAATGTTTTGGTGTTTTGGAGTTCCCTCCAGAGGGAGTTTCTCTCCCACACTCCCCCCCTGCCTGAAACGCCTCCATTGGACTCCTTTGTTTACTTCCGTAACACTATGTAACACTTGCACTTCTATTGGATAGCCCTCAAACACATTGTACGTGATAAGCTAAGGGGCGGGACATCTCTAAGCGGTTGACCAATCACAACAGAGCCGGCCAGATAACCAATCAGAGCAGACTGGGCTCTGGTTTCAGACAGAGGGTGAAAAGAGGTGCTGCAGCACAGGCAGTATGAGAACAATAAAGAGCTTTTTGAACATTAAAGCATGGAAACATGTCACAGGAGAGACACTACATACTGATCTGAACCTGAAGATGTGCATAATAGGGCCCAATCATGACTACACTATAAAACTTGGTCTAATGCTCAGTATGGTTTCTCACTTTGCTAATGTTTATTTTGTTGTTTTGTTTTTTAACTCTCCTCCTCCCCTCTTCCCCTCCTCCTCAGTAAGTTTCAACCACAGAAATGATCCAGCAGGGTGCATTCGTGGGGGGGCCGCTGCAGCTTTCCACAGTCATTAGTAAACATCATCAATAATAGATCTCCATCTCCATCACTCTGTCTTCTGCAGCCTCCTCCCCCTGCACTTAAGCCTTGGCTGCACGGCAGGCTCCGATTACTGCCCATCGATTGTGAAGGAGAGAGAGGAGGGAGAGAGACGGAGAGGCAGTGCACTCCTCCCATGAGGCAGAGGATTGCAAAGAGCCCGGCTTTTATAACAATAACATCACATGCAGGGCATAACAACACGACACCGTCACACTGAGACCCTGAGGCCTAGTTTTATACATACATGTATCGTCAGTGAGCACATATAGAGTGGATCTATTTGTCTCCATGGGACACACAACACTACATTGCTGCCATTGCAGAAAACCTTGTGACCTTTGTTTTTGATTTTTTTGATTGCATTGGCATTTCACTTTCACTGCACCATCTTGGAAATATTTTTGAGTGACCTTGTAGGATTTCAATATTGTGTTAATGAAACACAGCATTTCTCCACAATTCCTCTTGCTCTTACTTCAAGAAAGTGCTGACACTCCATCGTTAGCGTCAGTGTAATGTAATAACATAGTGGCTGATACTTCAGTTGACGCTATACATCTTGGATCAGAGTGTCCTGACTCATCATTACCAATAGTGAGGGTTAACAGCGTACCTTGTCACCTGCGTCCGCGTGTTGAAGTCCAGGGCGCGCATTGACTTCAGCACTTCAATACAGCCCATGTACTGCAAAAAGTAACAAACACAAACATTTAAACGAAATGTATGAATAAGCATAGTAAATATATGATATGTATATGATCAAATATACCAACTATAACATGTAGACTATAGCAAGTGTTGCATTTGGAGGCAAATTGATCAAAACAGCATTTCATTGCATTACAAATCTCCTTTCAAAGACATTTCCGCAGTATTACTCTATTAGTAAATGGACTGTACTTATATAGCGCTTTATCCAGTCTTTAAGACCCCTCAAAGCGCTTTTACATACTACATGTCGTTCACCCATTCATACAGAGCAGTGTACCTTACTCTAGGACCTAAGATTCACACACATTCACACACCGTTGGCCATGCCATCGGGAGCAACTCAGGGTTAAGTATCTTGCCCAAGGATACATCGACATGTTGACTGCATGGGCTGGGATCGAACCCACAACCTTCTGGTTGAAAGACGACCACACTCCCTCACAGCCACAGTCGCCCTTTTAGTACGCATGACTATGCCCAACAATGCCTCATAATCTAACTCATATCCACATAGAGGCCATTACAGAGGACTCTGTGAGGAGCAGCAGCTGAGCAGCGTCCTAATGGCTGTCAAGTTGGGGTGCTAACAGCACCTTGACTAGATTAGCAGCACTAAAAGCTCCACATCAAACACAACCTGCAGCTTCTGAAGCCTCTGGGGGGGAGGCTGAGGGATGGGAGTGTTTTCAGTGGACTCAATCAATGCATGATAAGATGTCTTGGACTTAAATTAAAAAGTAGTTTGCATATGTGATGTTTACATGACAAGATGGAGGGTGAGCAACATGTATGACTTTGCATTTCTATTTCAGATTACCTGCCGTTTTCATGAAATATCTATACAGAAGAAAATACATTTCCAGGAACTGATTAAAACTAACTTTCTGACTATGGCCTATAGTGTCTTCATTAATATCAAACAAAACATAAAGCACATCAAATGAATCACACTATTATTGTTGTCATTAGTTATTAGTGACTCCTTATTCTATGTATCACCTGTTTGAGAACATATTTTATTATCTTTTTCATTCTAATAACTTGTGTTGATATTCACTTAGTTTTTTCCATTTTGTTCATTTCATTCAATGTTGTTGATAATTGTAAAAGTGCTAAGGCTAACGCATGCCATGCCAATAAATCCTATTGAATTGAAATCTTGAATTGATTTATAAACTCTTGGTGAAGCTAATTTGGTGATACATAATTGACATCCTCTCTAACCGTACTTTGGCTCAGTCACTCCCGTATTTAGTGCAGTTTCCAGGATTGTTAGTGACAGCAACAGACAGAACACGGCAGCCATAAAAAACAAACACAGAGAGAGAGAGAGAGAGAGAGAGAGAGAGAGAGAGAGAGAGGGCGAGGGCGAGGGAGAGGGCGAGAGAACAACCTTTGAGCCAGAGAGCTTAAAGCGCTTTTTAACAAGATTTGTAGACGAGGGGAAGTCTTCCATCAGTAAATTAACTATTTTTTTCCCCCTCCCTTCTCTTTGCCAATGCCTCCATTGTCACACACATCTGCTGATGAAACACATCCCTTCTTCTATCACCCTATCTGCTCGCGCTTCCTTTGGGCCAATTCTCCTGGACACTACTCCTTTTGCCACAGGGACACCGCGAGAAGCATTCCTCGGAAATCTAATAACACTAGCATCCCCGTTCAAAAACTTTGGCGAAGCACGTACGTTGTGTTACAATGAATGGGTGCATGATGGACGGATGAGGACAGCTGGACGTATCTGGATAGTGTAGATGGTGAATGATTAGATTGTGTTCAGTACATGCACGCCTGTTTGGTTTGTATCTCATGTTGCCAAAGGACATTTCAGAGCAACAACATGTACTCGTTGCACCATGAAAGGACCAAAACATTACCATGCAGAATAAATGGGCTGGTAAATATTGTGCACCAGATTGTGACAGAACAGCATAAAAAGATAGCAGTCGGTTTTTATAGCTCTCCTGATGATAGCTGGCAGCTGCAGCGCTTTGTGTGCTGCAGTATCCTGGCTGTCAGAGATGGCAGATGCAGGCCAGACCCAGAGCATGACACGCCGTGTGAACAAAGACACGGTGCAGAGGAGAAAACCAATACTAAGAATCATATTTGTGTCTTTCCCAGCAGAGCAGTGACTGTGTGTCAGGGAGAACAGAAATAGAGGAGGGGGAGCTGTGTGCTATGGTAGCTATGTTGCTTAAAAAAAGGCACAGTGCAGCAGAAATCCACTGTCACTTTGACACTAATGCATACAGCAAGTGCTCCTCGCTGCATAGAGTGCACGTTTAACATTCCAGCTGCTGTGAAATGCAACAAAGACTACAACACCCCTGTTGTGCAATACTACTTATGTGCAATACTGTATATATAAACCCTAAATAGCTTTGCAAAATATACTTACACCTTGTATACTTTCACCAGGCTGCTATATCTCAAAACTGTTACTGGATGTGTATTTTCTAAACTGTAAATTGTGTAATTTCTACTTTTTATCTGAAATATGTTAATGCATGCTTCTTAATTAGGCTATCTTTGACTCTTTACTTGCCGTTACAAATTTGCATTTCCTCTCTTTGGGACGAATAAAAGCGTTCTGATTCTGATCTCAATCATTAGCTTACACACAGTGAGAAACATTGACTTGAATTAAATGTATTATGTCAACAGATTTCACACAACTGTATTAGTTTAGTTGAAAGCAATGATATTAAGTTTAAGTAAAAAATAGTATGTATAACTTAGTATTATACTATTAAACTTAATATATGTGACATTTGTTGACCTCATACATTTATTTATAGTCAACGTTTGAGTTTTCAGTGCAGGTCAGTAGTCACATCACATTATTGTGGCGCCCCTTTAACAATAACCTGTCTGCAAATCAACTGAGATATCAATCACACATAAAGCAGCACTTGTTATGAATCTAGGAAAGCCCTGAAGAGAGGCCCCCCCCCATCCCCATCCCCATCCACATCACATGATGCAAATGACTGTGACTTAATGTAATTGAATATACGAATGAATGGTGCCTGTATAATGGCATTAGAAAGCGTGCTTCAGTCCCAGACTGGGCTAATCAAGAGTCATGTCATTAGTTTTGAGGAGAGGGGGAAGAGCAGGGTAAAGAGGGGTGGAGGTGAACAGGCGGCGGGCACGGGGGGGGGGGAGATCATTGACATTGACATCAAGCAGCCTGCCTGGGATGGTAACCCTTTGTAAACACATTTCATGTTCACACAGATAGAGATATCTCTTCATATCCCTTCTACTCTCTAGTGGGACAACCAACTATTTCTTTTTGCAGCCTGGTTCAGTTTCATGATAGCAAAAAAAATTTAAAAACATAATCCAAGCTTACTCAAATAATTGTACTACAGTAAACATTGGGATTCACAATGCACACGGATTGTAAATAACATTTAATGGTTAACATAGGCTCCTATAAATGTAAACAATCCAGAAACCGCACAAAGACCACTATCCACATAAAACATACGTTAGATCCACTTTCTGCCGTAAAATAATGCTCCTCACTACAGTCTGTGCACATCATTCCAAGGTGTATCTTCCCCGCCCTGACGCAGTCTCTACCAAGCCATCTATCTGGATTATGTATTCCCCAGCCCCTCGCCACATGTGCTGCATAACAAGCTGCCGGCACTGAGGTGTCCTTTTGTTTCACACACAGATAGAGACACCTTTAAAGGACTCATTAATATTGTCCACTGATTCCTATGAGCAGTTATGTATGTATGAATGTGTATGTATATATAAATACATATGTGTATGTGTGTAATGACAAAGCTGTTACTCTGGTTATTACCTTGGAAGGGGAAATAGTATTGGTTTTATTTGTAAATTGTCTATGTGTTGGGTTTGTGAAGCACTTTGAGTTACCTTTGTGTATGAAAGGTATGTAAATTAAGTTTGATTTGATTATATGTAAGCAGCAGAGAAATAAAATATGTTGTTTTTAGATGTACAACAATTTAAGTGGATGTGCATGCATAAAAAACAACATATGACCTACCCTGACTATATATGAGGCCCCTGGTCCTGCAATGGTGTTGTCAGCATGCAGCCAGCCCTGGGTGGGTTTGTGGATGAAGTTTCCCTTCTGGGGGAAGTCCTCTCCCCCCAGCCACATGCCCTCCACCCTTGTCCGGCGGCTCATTCCTGACCTGGAGTTGCTGGAACCCCCGGGGCTCGCCATGGCCTCCATAGCCCCAAACCCGTGCCCCCCTGGACCGGCAGAGTGTGCAGCTGCCACCGCCCTCTGCCCCCGGATCGCCTGCAGGGAGCAGGGGGTGACACACACGGGGTCACAGGAGTTAAGCACCGCAGCGAGGCTGGCCACCGGGCCACTGGCGGAGGCCGCAACACTGCGCCTGTGTGGGGAGGAACTCTGTGAGGCTGTGGAAGGAGCCGCCTTCCCCGAGTCCTTGCTGGAGCTGGAGCTGGACGGGCTGCGGCTGAGCAGCGAGTTGGAGAACTTCCACTGGGGCATCCTGGGGATGAGCATGCAGAAGGTGGTGGTGGCCTCCTGATCCCCGTCCAGGCAAGGGGAGTCGGCCAGGGCTGCGGCCCCAGAGGAGGAGGAGGCTCTGGCACTGTGATCCAGGGGAGGCAGATGAGGCAGGGGGGGCAGAGGGAGGCTGGTGGCGGAGACGGAGACCATCGGTGTGGCCACAACTTTGCCGCTCATGGCTAAGCTGTGCATCAGGTCGCCGGAGGAGGAGGTCACAGACTCGTTGCGAAAGCGGCCATACTTTGGCTTAAGGAGCATGCCCGGAGGAGACGCCTGGAGCAGGAGCTGAGAGGATGCCAGAGGATGAGGGGGGAGGAGAGGGGAAGGGGGGGAAGGGAAGGGGGGGGAGAGGTGTATTGGAAGACGGGGAGAAAACTAGAGAAAAATCTTCCAGGTGGAGCCCTAAATCCTTGTCAACGGAATGCTGTCTGGTCCTCTCCCGTTCACACACACACACACACACACACACACACTGTCCCGGCCTCATGCCACTCTCCTCTCTGTCTGAGCTGGCCTGCTTCCTCTCACTGCCTTAGCTCTCTCTCTCTCTCTCTCTCTCTCT